GGTTGGCCCTCTTGCCAAAATCTGAAATGGCTGGATGGAACAAATAATATAGCATAAGTTATTAACGCACATTTCAAAGGACCACACAAGGTGAAATGGCCCTTTAACACTGCTCCAGTCATAAGGAGGAAGGGCAAAGGTGGTGGAGTGGGGTGCAGGTAGCAGGGAGTTGTTAGTGGGGTTACAGATTATTGTAATAAACCATCAATCCAGCGTCTCTATTCAGTTCATTAATTTTAGTATAGAGCAAAATTATCAATTTAAGCTCCCAGCCTTGATTTTAAAATTGTTGTGCATGTTTCCTTTGAGGATGAGACCTGACAGGTCAGCTATAGTGCGATCATTTTGTAAAAAGTATTCACCCACTGGTGATAGGGTGTTTTGGTCTTTTATCATTTTCCTGTGAGTTTCTGTGAGTGCATAGCGATTATCTGATTTTACCTAGATATTTGCTATTGGGACATTTAATGCACTGGATGAGGTACACCACATGCTGTGATCAGTGTATGAAGGATCCAGGGACCTTGAAAGGTGTGTTGTGCGGGGTACTTATCAGTGATATGTCTTCAGATTTTGCATCTATTGTTTTGGCAGGTTCTGGGCCTACTTCAAATTGGCATGTCCTGGTGTGGGGAGCTTGCTTCTGATGAGTTTGCAGAGATTGGAAGATCGTTTGAAGGCTAGAAGAAGAGATTCAGGAAAGATTTCCCTCAGGATGGGGTCCTCATGGAATATGGGTTATAGCTGTTTCATGGGCTCCAGTGAAGAGGGGTAGGGGACAACTAGTGGTGTATGGTCAGAGGAGTTCTAATTCTGTATTGAAGGTATTTAGTTTTAAAGACTACAAAACTAGTACAGAAACTATGTCATTATGACAATATGACACATCACATAGTAGGCACATAAGCAAAGATCCTTGCCAGGTAGACTCATTTGCAGTACAGGCTGACTCAAAGAATGAGGCAGCAGTCACTTCTCATACCCTGATAGCTGTATGAACAAGGGAGTTAGTTAGTTAATGCCTATTACACCCCCTGGTGTGTAGGGCAGCACCAAAGGTTCTCCATTTTTGTTTGTCTTTGGCCATTTTCTCCAGTGTGTCCCAGTTATAGTTCATTCTCTTCATATCTGCCTCAACAGTACGCCACCATGTTGTCTTGTGCCTCCCATGTTTCCGTCGTCCTTCAGGCATCCGGTGAAATGCTACCTTTACAATGGTGTCTGCCTCCCTTCTCATCATGCCCTATCCATCTCCAGCATCTTCTCATAATGATAGTGGTCATGTCCTCCTGGTGACATCGCTGGAGCAGGTCGTGGCTGGAGATTGTTTTCGGTCAAAAGATGTGAAGTATCTTATGAAGGCTGGTGGTGTGAAAGGATGAGAGCTTGGCATGGTCACACTCTGTCATCTGCCAGGACTCTGAGCCGGATAGTCGTGTTGATATGACACAGCTCTGGTATAGCTTAAGCTTGATGTGGACACTGTGTATCTCTCCATACATTGTTTGAAGTATGTATGGAGTACCAAGGTGCATATACAATCTCAGAAGTCCTAGGCATAAGTATGGGCTTTCGTCTTCCCATCAGAGCACAGGGTGAGAAACAAAGAAGTGCTGTGTGACCCTGCATAAGAGCTAGCCCTTGAGACTCAAATACCAGAATGATGGGCACACTAGATGAACCAAGTTAGCTAAGTAAGGAGTAATTAAGTTTGTTATGTAGCATCAACTAATACTAACTTGGCAGAGCACAAGTAGTTGCACTGTCCATGAAAGGAGACATTTTTCTGCTGTCTCTAACCTCCCTCTCTACTCCTGCCCCCCCTACATATCTATGGAAATCAGTCAAGCCATTCTAATAGCAACTACATACAGTAAGTTAAAAATACATTAAGAACAACACTGAAAAAATGCTGCCAAGTAATTTTATGGCTGGAGCACAAAAATTGCAGGCGTCTGAAAGAAGAACAAACAAAACCTCAAACAGATTTTGGAACATGCCCTTTACTCACGCAGTCTGTGTATGATTTCCGTATTACCAAGACAACATTAAGAAACAGACTCTAAATTAGTTGCATATACATAATATAAATTAATGAAATAATAGGTTGAGGTTTCAACAGTTACAGGAGAAACCTGCCTGTGAATGAGGCCAGGCAACATACAGCAGGATCAGATGATCTCTAAGAACTTATTCAGACCAAAACATTTTAAGAAAGCAAGATGTTTTCAGAGGATGAACATGTTATATTTCTTTCAGCCTAATGGTGTTAAGGTTAAAATATACCATTTTCTCTCATGGTTCACTGTCAGAAAGAGTATTTTAAGTATGTTTCTACCCTGAAAATGATTTCACAAAAATGGTAATTTGTTACTTAACAGGTCTGACCCAGTGTTGTATTCAGAGCTATATTTGAAAGCACCAGGGGCTAAACTATTTGTAAATTTCTCCTCACTCCTGTTAGTACTGCAGACATAACACAGATCTGAGCAAGCGTGTTGAATATTACTCCTCCTTTTGTACTCGTTGAGCCTTTATTACTGGTGATGTTGCTTTTAGAAAGAAAGAACCCAGCTTGACTCTCAGGATACTTCTAGACTGCAAGCCTTTTTTGAAAGAGGCTTTTTGAAAGATACTTTCGAAAAAGCCTCTTTTGAAAAAGAGTGTTTAGACTACAACCAATATTTTCGAAAAAGAAAGCCACTTTTTTGAAAGACAGCACCTAGGCAATCTGGATGCTCTCTTTTGAAAAAGCACAGTTTGCATTACATAGCGCCATTTTCGAAAGAGCACTTTCAAAAAAAGGCGTTATTTCTTATAAAACAAGGTTTTCTGTGGTCGAAAAAACTGCCGTATTCTTTCAATTTACTTTCAAAAGAACGCGGCAGCAGTCTAGACACAGGGGAAGTTTTTTTTAAAAAGACCACTTTTTTCGAAAAAACCCTGTAGGTTTTTTGTAGAAAAGACCCTCAGAGTCTATGTTGAGTTTGCAGGGCTGGCTGTTAGGAAAACCCCATTGTTTTACCTGAAAACTGAAAATATTTGATCTGGAAATAACTGGGAGAATGATACTATTTAAACAAAATGATTTGTCTGATTAGACCTGTAAATTAACCAAATAATAAAGAAATAATCCTGACAAGGCACTGAGCTAAATATACTAATTTGAGATACGCTGCTGATGGTGCATGCCTAGAGTTTGCTTCATTTGGAGGAAGAAAACACATAAATGCTAGATTTTCACATGTGAAAATAAAGGTTAGAAAAATATTAGTGATAAATTTTACTGCAATGCATGATGGACTTGTTTTAAAAAGATTATTGACAGTAGGCTGAAAAGTTATCAGATACAAAATGTCACACACACACACACACACACACACAAAAACCCTCAAAGGAGACCATCATCACATAATCATTAGAATGCACATACTAGTCAAATATTTATATACAAATGTTAACTCAATAGCACATATTATTCCATCTAATCAGTTCAAATTGTCATTCTCTTGGTGATCCCTCATGTTCTGCCCCACCAGATACTGAGTTATAATCTTTGGGGAAGCAGAGATACTAGATAAATAGCTTCCTACATATCCTTCATTTTCAAATACTGATGCTTTGGTTACCTGTAAAGACTGTGCAAATGAACTGTCATTATAAAGCACTGGACAATCAGCCAATCAAATTGCTTTGTTAGATGAACTGGATGAGTAAGCTATTTTTGAACAAAGAATGCACTACATAAAAATAGGCTTTTCCACTGGGAATACAGCAGATATATCACCTGGCACACTATTTATTCATTTACTTGATGTCAGGTATTAAGAGGATTTTTAAGCAGTTCATAAACTTCTCCATTGTTTAATTCTTTGGGATTCACCACCCATATGTTGCAGCATTTCATTTTGCATCCTTATATATAGACAGATGTTTGAACTGCTCATAAAATAAAGATTTGTGCATATATAGCACAACATTGATTACCCCATTGCCGTGGGACCCTTTATCCAAAATGTAGTGGTTTCCCCCCTAACACTCAGATTATTGAGGGTTAGAATAGTTAAGGGAACTGTCAACTTAATTACTAGATTTTGGGAACAAGAGAAAGGAAGATTTAGATAATTAAGGCCTCAGGATTTATAGGAGAGCACTTAAGCTCATAGGAAAAGCTACTTTATAGCTAAAGTCTTGTGACAGTCAAAAAGCCATGAGAATTAAAAGTCATAGTGCACAGTTCCAGCTGAGCTAATGGACTTGAGCATTCCATGCTATTTGTGTTAGAATTAGATCTCACAGCACACAGGGATTGTAAAAACAACATGCTCTTTCAAAGAACCATACCTCTACATCCTCCTCTTCATCAGTCTACCAGAGGAAACAAAGGATAGAACAGAGAAGGACAAAGAGTAATGTTTAGCAAGTACAGTGTGGTCAAAGCATGATATTGTTTAAGAAACAACAAGATGACCTGTAAATAAAGGCAGATAAGGACTTCATATGGGAACCAACTTGCTGCTTACTTTTATTAAAGCAAATATTAATGGATGCTGTTATCATCTGCAGAAATAGCATTTTATTTACTCATCTAAAACCACCAGCCTATTAATCATCCAACCCCTCTATGCTAGACTAAGCCACCCTTTCTTTCACCTTGCAGGTTAAAAATAGGTGTACCCTACAATCCAAATCTTCTTTGAATTCTACCCCAGATATTGGGGTTAATTGATATTTTGCTCCTGACACTGGCTACTCAGATATTCCAGATCTTCTATTCCCACATAAGTAGTGTTCCCCAATTTTTTAGTTTTATGTTAACCCATAATACCCGTAAGCCAAATGGCACTCGTGAACATTTATGATAAAAAGCTTTATTTATGAATGAATTAGGATGTAACTCGAAATGGGAGAAAATGATGAAACCAAACACAAAAGAATATCATAAAACTTAACAAAACACTCAAGCAAGAGTTGACTTTAAAGAGGTTAAAATAAAATACACGTTTAAAGTTCTTTGATGGACCCTTAATCCCTGAGACAAGGCACTGGAAATCATAGAAACAAATTAACCCTTCACTATCTAGATTGTTCACTCCCTGGACTCCAGACATTTCAAACCCAGCATACCCCTGTAATTAGGCTATACAAACCATAGTTTATGTATCCTGAAGCCACAGTATATGAATTTTAAGATTGCCTCAAATTTGTGGACTTCAGGCCCAATGACCAATGTATCAAGAGTTTAACCTGCCAAATTTCAGGGATGTTTTTCCTATACCCCTGTGAGTCACAGTGCCTTTTTTGTGCAGGCTGTTCCTTCCAAGATCCCTTGACAGGCCTATACCTCCACTTTTCCTTAGGATGGGTCCTGCCATTTAACCAGTCTCTGACTGACTCTCCAGATTACATCCCTCCGGTTGCCAGCCAGGATATCTAGCAGACTCAATGGACTGGGGGCCTGCAGGAATTTTTCTTTGGGAGCCTTTACCTGGCATTCCTCTCAAGCCCCTTAGTAGACCTGACTTAGTCTTGGAGTCCTCCTTCTCTTCAGTGACAACCTGTAACCTGTTTGCTATAAACACCGATTCTCACTCAGTCTAGGTGTCTCCTTGCATCTTCTCACCCAAACTCTCTGTGCAGTGTCTCTCAGCTCACCTGACCCCGCTCTCTTTTCTAGGTCCAGTGTCCTTTAATGTTTAGTGTCCTCCGATGAAGGGTATGCCTATGCTATGCAACTTTTAGCAACAAAGCTGTATTGACATAGTCGGCGCATACAAATGCTTTCTGTTGGCATTTCTGCCAACAAAATACTTCCACTCCCAACAAGCGGGTTTCAGTTTGTTGGCAGGAGCAAAGCAGCATTCACACATGCACGTGTTGTGACAAAACCGTGTTGTTTGTAGGAGATGGGGAGGGTTAGGGTTAAGAATGCCAAAAGATTTGTCGAGCAAATGTAAATGTAGATATAGCCTTAGTGTTGGGAAGTCACACAGGAGACATTCCCCTTTTAGCAGCTTCCCATTGTTCCCTCTAGGACTCTTAATTACATTAGTGTTTTTGGCCTTCCTTGTTTGGTCCTTTTAACTACCTCTTCCAGTTAGCTGCACTGAAAGTAACCCATCACACAAACACACCGCCCTCCATTCATGAAAAATAACAGAGATATTCCCCAGTTGTCCACACCTATCTCATATGAAGTATTCTCAGGTGGCAGTATAGGAAGGCATTTATTTTATCAATATCTATTAAAGTAGAAATTTTGAATTTCTAAGTTTTTGGATATTGTATTTTTAAAAAATACACTGTTCCATTAATTCACCACCTCATGCAAGTTATTAATACATATTTTCTTATCTTCAGCTCAGTACTGATTTTTTTTCTGGGATTGGGGAACAAAATGTATCAAACATTCATAATTAAATCTGAAAGCCTCATTTTTTGGCTCTCCTCTAGTTTTCGGCACATTCTACATGACAAGATTAGCTGCAAGAGAGTGCTGAGAAGCACATTAACATTACTTTTTAAGGGCACATTTGGTTCAGAGAGTGAATTGTTTGTTTTCCTTTGGGTGTAGTGGCACTGAAATGCAGCCAGACATTTTGCAGTGGACCTCACCAGGTATATTTGTTTTGTTATTCACACTATGGTAAGTTTTTTTTTCCCCTGGCAATCCCAGGGGAAACAAATTCCTCTGAAAAACGGTTATGCAAAGCTAATGTGAACCTTGGAAACCAAGAGACTATTTGTTTATTAATCTAGCCACAAAATGATGAGAAAATAAATGGAAGGAAGAAAATGAAGCAAAAGCACAAAGTAATCTGCGAGAGGCACTCGAGGAAAAGAAAAGGAGCAGAGAACAATGCTAAGTGCATTTTCCATAGTCAGAAAGCAATCTAGGCTGTGTGCGCAGTTTATTTATTATACCAGTGTTAGATTGTGACAGCAGGAGCATTCCAGGTTCTAGAAGACAACTTCCTTCTTGCGCCCCCATTTGCTCCAGGGAGAAGTATCTTGCTGATGGCTTATTGTCAGCCACTGACTACTATTCCTGGCCTACTATGCTTGTTCAGTTCCAGTCATGTGTACCGAGAGGGACAGAGTCAAAGTTCTGTCCATTCCTCTCCCACCTGCTCTGGATGGAAGGAGTAAGCAGTCTGTATAACACCCATTATCCCTAAATACTCATA